CCGGTGTATTAGGAATTGTGTTCAGGAAGAAGATTGCTAATAAATTACCTCTGTGATCCATTGCTTGTTTTCTTTAATAAGTTTTATTTTGTTTTTTTTTAATATTTTTAAACGGGTTACAGTTGCAAACAAAATGGATCTAGGGGTCTTGGAGAGTTTTAGCAGTTTTCATTCAAAAGCAAGGCATTTGTTCTGGAATCAACGAATTTTAATAGACCACTGGTATTTGTTTTTTACAAGAAGCAGAGGTCCATGAACAGTGACAGATATATATAGCAATCATGCGCTGGTAGGATGGCTAATGGTCCCTCATTCAAGAAGTGACTAAGAGCAAGCTGATGACAGGTTTGGCTTCATAGCATACGCCAGTACCAATTTACCGCCAAAACGAATGGACGAATCGTAGAGGGACTGGTTATTTAAAATCAACGTTCTGCTCGTTGCACCATGCCTACCACCAGACTTACTCGAATAGAAAACCAATTTAAAAAAAAAGTAATTAACTGTATTAGCACACTGTGGTTTTGTTAACTGTTACTAAAATAATTCAATATTTATAAATTTGTTTGTTTGTTTTTCATGCATTAAATGGTTTCTCTTGGGATCCAGTTCGTTTGCTCATGTAAAAATAATACTTAAAACTGATTTGGTAAACAAAATAACTCGCGTAAAATAACATACTTCTAATAAATTTGTCTTTTTTGGGGCTCTAAAAGTTTTAAAAGCTGATCACCAACTTCATATACGTTGCACTTTTCTAGCCCTCAAGAGAAGCCGCTTATCATTGAATATCAATCTTGAGAAGAAGAGCTGGATTCCATTCTTAGAAGACATTTACGAAATCAAGTAAAAATTCAAAGACATGAGTTTGTTTTGTTTTTTACAGTGAACTAAAATATTCTCCTTTTTTTGGTTTGTAATTTCAAAACACACATGATATTTACTGAACAATTTTACGACCATTTCAAAGCTTATCCATTAACCTTTACTTCATAGATTTTGTCGCAAACTGTCAGATTATATTAACAATTATTTTTTATGCGTGGCTGTTAAAAATTCAGGTTTCCTTTCCTCTCTTCTGAGAATCCTTTGAAGTACATGCGGAGTCCGCTGTCCAACAAATACTTTGAGGAAAAGTTGATAGAAAATA